GTGACTGTCATTGTTGGTAGGTGGCCTTTCAGGTATGTCTTGTGGTGGTTCACACAATCATAGTAGTGAGATATTAGCATGTCAGATGATGCGTACCTAGGCATTTAAGGGGAAGAGGTATTCCTGGATTTGATCATCTACGTGGCCTGAACCCTCGGACATGTTAAGATATGAAGTGAGGTGGTCGTCTGAGCTCTCAGATAGGATTTCAAAGTGGACTCTAAAGTCGGTGGGCCCAAACAATTTTCTTGTATGTATTTTGCTCTTATTACTATTGTTATTAAAATATTTTTGGGGAAGACTTGTATGTGCACTGTGTGATCCATTCTTATCCCAGTTGGCCACTGCCACTACTAGGTCGCACACCAGCTATGCGTCTTGTCAAGAAGATCGAACATTGTGGTGGTGAGACAAGCGAATGAGGTTTGTCACGGCTCCGACTAGCATTGGAATTTGACTCCTTTCTAATATATTACAAACTTTATATTTTTTGGTAAACTGCAAGGTATCAAACTCCTCGACTCAATCCCTTCTTCGAGAAACTTATGTGTAGAGCTGTCTAACTGAAATGGCATAGTGTGAACATTGACTGAAAATTTAGTACACATTGATGAAGTGTGAGCTAACAGTAATTGATGAGTTGATATTATACAAAATATTTTACTGTGTTCTCAGTTATAATTCATTGGTTATTTTGTGAGAATTTTGATACTTTGTTATATATGTTTAACGAATGACCTTCGACTTCCTCATGAGAAAAAAAGTGATCAAATGGTGGAATTTTTTAGTGATTCTAATTGGAGGATGTTCGTGAGTCGCTTAGCTTGATCGTATCAAAATTTTAGATTTTTCCACGTAGCGGTTATTTTCTGGCACTAAAAATAAAGGAGCAGCACCCAATGCTGTCAATGTGATGTTTTGGGCTTAATTGTGAATTTTGGAGCCTAAGATGGCCTATTTTGGATTCGGCCCCTTCTGGAGATGTATTCAGATTGTTCTAATTTTTAAAACAAGTTATCATGTCACTTAGTATTACGGTCTAATGGTACTCCTTTGCACTTATAAGTAAGAGGTCTTAGATTCGATTCTCGCCAAAGGCGAATTTGAACCACGTTATTGGTAACTCATTGTGAGGCTTAGCTTACTCTCTCCCCCCACCCCTTAGTTTAAATGATATTATTTGTTCAAAAGACCCAAAAAAAAAAAGAAGAATAAGAAGAAAAGAAAAGAAAAAAAGGCTATCATGGGTTGGATTTGGAGGAGATTTAGGTCTAAAACGTGGCAGATTTCTCCACGTTTGACTAGGTGATTGTTTCCTAGTTTATCTTAATTTATTTTCTAGTTTTATTTTAAGACCTTTTCTAGGTAGGGTTTTATTTTGTAATAGTATAAATAAGGCTATTTAGACATTAGGATTTAGAGGAGGAGACACACTACTTTGGATTGACAATTGAAGTTTATTTACAAGGTGTTTTCTTTCCATGTTCTTAATAATATTTTGTTTTATGATTGTTTATAATTAATTTATTTTGCCAGGGCAAGGTCACGAGCCTTAGCAAGAATATCTAGTTTATTTTCAATTTACTTATCATATTATGCATGCATGTTTTGAATTATTAATCTCTGTGTTTAAACTATCTAAGTGTCGTAGTCATTCGCGACCATTAGGATATTTAGAAAAGTAATTTGATGCAATTTTGGTCGGAATATTCCCTGAAATTGACGCTAGCTTCTAATGGTTAATAATTGTAATTTCACTTAGGATGAACACCACGTCTTAAGGGTTGCATGGTTTTTCAAAGGGTTTTAACAAAACTTAATGAGTCTTTTATGTTCATATTTGATCCGAACACTCGGATGGGTTGCATGTTAGATATACGTTCTATATTGGAGGTTCCAAGTAGGACATATATTAGGAAAACCTAACCTTAAAAATATGCATTAGTAATTCATAAGTAATTGGAAGAACTATGTAGAATTATTAAGGTGATGGCGGAACCCTAGTGTCTCTTTATTGATTTTCTTTAAATTATTTTCTAGTTGATTTCTTAATTTGTTTTTTTTATTAAATTCGTTTTTATTATTTTAAGTCACAAAATCAACATTTTCCAAAACTTGCTTTCAAGTAATTAATTAAGAATTAGTTTAAATACAAATTATTCATTCAATTCGATCCATGTGGAAATGACCTTGCTTGAGATGTTCATACTACAACTACCTTGTACTCTTGCAAGTATTTTTAAATGTTTTTATCCCTATTTTTGCAAGTGATAAAAATCCTCATGTTTGTTGAATGCGCATGTGTTATTGCTTTGGATGTGTCCACTCCTCGCTTCACGATTTTTTTTTTCTTGTTCACCTACAAACGGAAACTAATGCTGATACAATTGACTCTTCCTTCTACTCATACAGGGGGAATTTAATGAAAAATGCTCACAATGTTTGGAATCTTATTAACTCACTGTTGACAATATCCAAAGGTTGTTAGAGTTAATATCAAAATTAGTTAGTTAAATAGCTTAGGCTGCAAGTTAGTCATGATGGCTATATAAACTGTATTCTCATAGTTGTAAAGACTAATTTAGTATCAATGTAATCAATTACTTTCTCTCTCTCTCTCTCTCTTTTATTCTCTTTCTGCATTTCTGTGCTTCTCTACACTACTGTTATTATGGTATCAGAGCCATTAAGGCTCACGCTATGGATCTTGGTGGTCGATTCCTCTTCTATCTTTCTTCATTACTTTCTTTCGTTTCCGCGTATTTCCTTATTCGTAATACAAGAGCTCTTTCTTCCTTTCTTTCTATGTAAACTTCTCTAAGATTTCGCATAGGTTTTCTTTGATTTCATCTGGGTTTCACTGCAAATTTTGCTTCCCATCCAACTCCGCCGCCGGGGTCTTCCGCTTCAGCCACGGCTCAATGCTCTTGTACTGGTTGTAGAAATTCGTCATATCCACCACCAGGTACTTGATCACAAACATGTGGGGCAGCGGCATGATCATCGTGGCGCCTGCCTCTGACGGCGCTATTTTCGTCAGGCAGGCCAGGCCGTTGCAGCCGTCGATGTTCATGGCGCAGGAGCCGCAGATCCTTTCCTGGCAAGATCGCCGGAAAGTGAGAGTGGGGTCCATCTCGTTCTTGATCTTGATGAGGGCGTCGAGTACCATGGGTCCGCACTACTTGAGGTCGATCTCGTACTCCTTGAGCTCCGGCTTCTTCGGGTTGTCCGGGTTCCACCGGTAGATTGAGAAGGTCTTGATGTCCGTTTTGTCTCGGGCCTTGAGGTCCACCTGCTGGGCCTGGACCTCCGACGCCATAGCCCGGACGCAGACGTAACGAAACGACGCCGCCGCAGTCGATCCCGACGAAATGACATGGAAAGGTGTAGTCTCCGACGGCGTATTGTGACAGTGGTGGAAGCTTCACGTCCAACTCCTCCATCTTTGCCGCCAACGACAGGCACACCACCAAAAGCAACCTCTTTGTAGATTTTGGCTCTTCTTTCTTGAGAACCCATTTGATGGATTTAGATCGAGCTTCCAAAACCCAGCTGGGAATGATCACATTTTCGTCTTTCTTGAACCCAAATTCCATCTCTCTGTTGATTCCGTATCAACCCCGTCGCCATTTTTGCGTCTTCAATTGTGCAGAAAGGGAAGTTCTCGGCAGGTATGCTCAACTTTGTGAGAGTGTTAAACAGAGTAGATTTTCCAACATTCGGCAGGTATGCTCAAGGCCGATAGCCGTATACTTCAGATTTGTGCACTCGAAAAAAGCCGATTGCCAAGAGTGTGTTGAATGCATTTTGTTTCCTCCATACGGCCAATAGCTGGAGTGAAAAGTTCTGTCTCAGATATTGTGTGTTATTCCTTAAAGGCCGATAGCCAGAGTAATGTTCTTGAAAAATTTTGTTTGTTGTTATTGTGTGCAACTCCATTAAGGCCGATTGCCGGAGTGCAGTTCTTGTTCCCTTTCTTCATTGAAGGCCGATTGCCGAAGAAGGTTGTGTTTCTTGATTTCTGTGATTGTAAGAAGTTGATTGCTGGATGGTCTGCTTCAATCTCAAACTGGGCAATCCCAGTTGAGATTGAGGGGGGATGTTGACAATATCCAAAGGTTGTTAGAGTTGTTATCAAAATTAGTTAGTTAAATAGCTTAGGCTGCAAGTTAGTCATGATGGCTATATAAACTGTATTCTCATAGTTGTAAAGACTAATTCAGTATCAATGTAATCAATTACTTTCTCTCTCTCTCTTTTATTCTCTTTCTGCATTTCTGTGCTTCTCTACACTACTGTTATTACTCACAACACTAAAGGTCTATCCAGCAGCTCTTCAGACGCCGTGACGAAGAGTAACAAAATGGATGTCAATTGCAGATCATTCCATTACAATGATGAACTTCCTAAGGCAAAAAACCCTCGTTGTAAGTAACAGTTTTTTATGTTTTTTAAGAAAGTTGAGATTCTACCACAAAATTAATTGATAATATGGGGAGTAGCCTAGTTATTTATAAGTAAATGCAATACCCATTCTTTTTCCAATATAAGATTGATACTCTCAACACACCTTCTCATGTGGGATAAATTTTTAAGCTTAGCACGTTGATAACACAAATGGGGTGACGTTGAGCATGTGTGGGCATTGGGCTTCACATGTAGGACATCATGCTCTGGTACCACAGACAAAGTTGATGTTTCACCATAAAACTAATAAACAATATGAGAAGTAGCCCTATTACTTATACACACATACAATGTCATTTCTTTTCTCAATGTGTTTGATATTCTCAACAATTTTTTAATATAAATGGTATTCTATACTAATTAATATACACTAAGGGGTGAGAGTAAGATTTGAATCTGGAACGCAGTGAGTTAAAGAGAAAAACCCTTACCATTGGAGTAATCCACCACTTGCAACAGGTTTGCATGTTAGATCACTTTTAAACCTGCTTCTGAAAATGGGTTTTTTAGACTCCTTGCAAAAGTTGGATACATGACGGAAAGTGAATGGAATTCCGGCCAAGTTGGATACATTAGTTATAAAAATGCCCTTATTGCTGTCATATTGCAGAATTAATAGACGTCTCATATTCAATCGAAACAATTTGGACGTCATCAGAAAAGGGACCCAAATTGAACTAAGATTACAGTATATAGATTGTGATGACTAAAGAGAAATGTTTATGCGTATTGATGTCACCAATCTAATTAAGTTTTATATAACCGTTCTTTATCATCCACTCAAGACTCCAGTGTTTATTGACGTTCTTAAGAGTCCAATAAGCCCACCCAAATGTTGCTCTCCCCCAAACTTCTAATTGAGCATTGGCAAATCTTTGGTAATCCGCCTTTGTTGCATCTTTAACATTCCACTCAGCCACCCATTCACCTACAAATAATCAACAAATGGTATTTAGGTCGAGAGTAATGATTTCACACTCCCGATTTTTTTATGTAAATAAATCTGAACTTTTATGTGTCAGAAACAAAACGGGGAGTTGATCGCGTACCAACAAAAGTGAGAGGGCCGTTCGATGTGGTGACATAATTCAATTGCTGGGACCGATTGGTGTAGATGAAGTCTATGTTTTGTTGGACAGTCATGTTGTCGAAGGTGCTCACAAACAGGTTATAGTAATGGACATCGATCACAGAACGCTTGAAGTCCTTGGCAAGGGGGAAAAGCTCCCTAGTCTCCATTGGTCCTAGCCTGTTTGACAACACCACGTATGCTGTGGAGGAATGCTTTCGAACAGCAGCATAACCAGCCTTGTAGAACTTGGTCACGTTCTGTAGGGACGCTCCTGGTGACAATGGTTCGTTGATGAGCTCAACTGCATATAGGTTTGGCCTCTTAGCATACCTACAATAGTACACCACCACCAAATTTAGGGATTTAAAATTTTAATGAATAGAACATAGAATTTTTGGGCACCTAACATACCTAAGCATGTGCCATCAAATTTGGATTTAACAATTAAGAAGAACCCTAGAATTAACAGGGTGATGTTTTGAGTAATTTCTGGCAAGATTTAAGTTGCTATACAAGTAGTTATATTTCTAGACTGTAAATTCGAGTTATACATTTAAGCAAGAATTAACTTGTTTAGTGCTCACAGGACAACATATACCCCGATAATCCGGCAAGAGCAGCATTTTCATGATATTTGGATGATACTTGGAGTACTGATTACTGATTGTACAGTAATCCGGCAAATCTATTACTGATTGTACAGAAAATGGTCTTTAATTAAGGACACTACATGTAAAAAGTCATTCTCTTTCTGACGGCATGTTATTATTTTTATATTGTACAAGCATCATAAATCGGACCATTATCATCATCTAACGATCATTTCTAAAAATTTATTCAATTTGGAGAATGTTTTAGTTATCCTCATTATGTTATGAGCTATCAATTTTTTCGACACATATGGCTTGCTATACAGTTTCCATATCGAATGATTTTTTCTTTAGGGATGATCTTTAGATGATGATAATAATAATTAACGATTCTGATTCTGACGTCATATCGTCATGTAAAGAGAAATGACTTCTTACATGTAAGGAGTCAAGTGTTACTCTTAATAATTAAGATTGTACAAATAATTTGATTCTACCACTTAATTTTCCAATTAAAGTAGGAGTAGCTTATGATGTCTCTATTTTTGGCTTCAAGTGTATATATTTATTTACCTGGAGGTTAAGAAATCAATGACATGAACAGTCTGTTGTATGTTCTCATCTGTTTGTCCCCATTCCTGAGAGCCATCTCTGGAAGCACTGTGTTCAAAACCATTTTGAGAGCCTGGTGCTGCATGGAGATCAATTATGACCTTTAATCCATATTTCCTGCCAAAATACAAACATGTATGTATTATAAAAAGATTTCTTAAAAACAAAACCAATAAAGTCAGCTATAGTTTTGGTTTATGATTTTTCTCAAACTTTGGAAGTGGTTCATCATAGTGGTACTGGTCCAAGTTGGATTTTGGGTTGGACTAAAAACACAACCACTTCTTAGTTTTTGTTTTATTGCAATTGCCCTCGACTTATTCAGCTAAAAAGGCCTGGGACCACACATTTATTTTTAACTCGTTTCTAAAAGTGAAAGTAGTGGAGGCAAATGTGTTAACGTATAAGACGCAGACTAATAAAAGTGAATACATACTGTGCCCACAGGAAGGCTTTGTCTAGTGCATATAATGAACCTCCAACATAAGGGTGTGGAGGAGTGGGATCACTTGCAATCCACCAACCAACTGGTATTCTCACAGCGTTTAACCCATTTGTTGATATGAAGTGGAAGTCATCCTCAACTATGAATGTATTCCAATGTTCCTGATGAATACCACATTTCAAGCAATGAATCTTGTCAGATATATGTGAATTATATCCATTAAACATGCACCACTAGTGAGGTAACATGTTTCTTGCCAAATTGTCTTTCCGTTGCCAAACAATGAATCTTGATCACTGATTATGTTAACTCTTGAAAATGTGACCGAGATTTACAGTTTGACAAAATAAACAGGTCTGGCAACAAAGGTTTTGCTAAAGTTTTGTGCTGTTAAAATCTCTTACCCACATAACTTGTGGAGCCATTTTTGGACCATAACCATTGGTTACTTGAAACTCTCCTTCCAATTTTCCAGAAAAGGTTATCACAAAAACAGATGGATCATTGTTTCCCCATTCAGTACTCCTCGCATAATCAGCTGTCACCAGCACCTCTGATCTTGCCTGCAGCACACATACAGATTAACAATCAAACCATCATAATTTATCTCAACAATTAAGACAAGAATAGGAACATTAATCATCACCTGCAAGAAGAATCCATTCGGTGCTTTGATTCGAACCCGGCGCAAATCATCAGGTTTTCTTATGATTTCAAAAGTCTCCGAAGTACCCGGTATTTTCGAAACAGCTACCACCTGAGTTCCATTGCCATTGACATCAAGCCCCACAAAATCTTTGTTGAAGACCCTGAAATTAAACGTGGTTTCGTTGATCCTCCACAACTGCAACAAATTAAGAAGCACCATGTAAATGTTAATGAAAACAATTTACATTATTATATATCGAAAAATGCAAATCAAATTTACTTTAAATGTTTCCCAGCCTGAAGCTGACGTTCTGTTTGCAACTATGATGCTTCCTCCTCCCAACTCAGCCGCAAGATATTTCCCGGTTGTGACAGATTTAAACTGAAGTCCAGTTCCATCCTACAACAATTAAAATGAAAAATATGTAACTAAAGTTGAAAAGCTAAAATATATCATATGAAAGATAAGAATTAAATTACCAACATATCAATGAAGTAAATTAATTTACCAAGAAATCCTTGTTGGCAATGCCATCGAAAAGAGAAGGTTTAATCCAGCCTTCTGTAACCAGCCACCCTCCAAGATTAACTGCTTTCACTCGACCGGAATTCTGAGGCAGTCTCCCAGAAGAAATGGACAGCATACAAAAAAGGAGCCCTATGCTTAGGAGCCATGCCCTGGAGTTGAAAGCCATTCGTTTACGCTTTGCTTTGTATTGTTGTTGCATCCATGCTGTCCGTATATAAAGAAAAGATTGGGGAGTCGGGATATGCAGAGGGAGCCAATGCCAAGAAACTTTGACCACTGTGTCGGAGTTAGAAAATTCTTTTTTTATATGATTGTTACAACTCAAGAATCTTAGGAAGTATTTGATACATTTAATCTTGTAAAAGGTATATATATTCCAATGCCGCATTTTGGATTGTCAACGGTATTGCAGAATTCAACGATATGCATTATATTTTACATAGTTATCAAACTAGACTTTATCCAACTTTTCACAATTTAGAAAGTCTTCTATATCGGTGCCTAAACACATATTTCTAGAAGGTCAGCGCCGGATAATTTCAGCTTGTATACAAGTTGTATGTAGAATTGGTGCTTCTATTAGATGCATTTACTGTAAACTTCTTCTAGTTTAGAGGAGTTTACAGTTATAGTTTTGAACATTTTGAGTTTAATTCTCATAAAACTCTCATTAAAGATTGAATTCTAACACTTCAAGTACCTATGTGACCTTAAATAAACTTTTAAACAATTTGTACCAATTCCTACATTGTTATGTCCTATATTTAATCGTTCGAAAACAATAGCATTACTTTTTACTGGAATACAAATAGTATTCTACACTAATTTTACATATTCTACATTAAGAGTAGGAAAGAAAGTTTAAACCTGAAACGAAATGACAATCCATCATATATGCTTTTATTGAATAATTTATTGAACACATCCTTCCTATTGGAAACGCCCCCTACTTACCTTAAGTTAATGAATTACCTTAAAACACTCATCTAACCTACCCAAACTACCTCACATTCAGATCTTCTACAACAAAAACACAAATTTGTCAATTTTTTAAATATTAAAAAAAACACACACACACGAACTCATCTTAACTAAGAACAATTTTGGTTGATACCTGCTAAAAAGAGGGTGAGAGTAGGTTCGAAAGCATGAAGGAAAATAATTTATGGGAGTAAAGTTATCTCATGTTGGAGAGACGGGCGGTGTATTTTACAAAACCGAATAATTTTAAGAAAGTTTTATGTTAAGCGCAAATTTTCTCATTAAAGAGTCCAAGATGCCACTTAGTATTACGGTTGAGTGTTATTCCTCTTCACTAGTAAGTGAGAGGATTTAGATTCGATTATCGTTATAGAAGAATTTGAACCATATTATTGCTAACTCATTGTAAAACTAAACCCACCCTCTCCTCCTTAATAAAGATAATATCATTTGTTCAAACAAAATAAAAAATAAAAAAAAGAGCCCAAGATATAATAACTAACAATGTAAACATGTCAAACAAATGTGAGCAGTTGAGGAGGGTTATCGTAGAGAAGATGGAGAGGAGAAAGTGGTGAGAATTGTTAAACTTTTTAAATAAATGAATTTTGTAGCTTGACGTAAATATCCATGATAATCAAGGATACAGAGGTACCATCCTATTGAACAAATCTTGTTCAAGTAAGGTCTTAGATGATCTTCTCTGTATTTACTAAGCTCTTTTTGTTAACCTCACAAAGATTCCATACCTTTTCCAGTTGGATTAAGAAGCTTCCAACCAAATCATATGATTCCTACCGTTTTCAAGCAAAGTATCGATGGAAGATTTTAAGCTTAGGATATTCACATTTATTCTAGGGTATTTTATATGGATTTTGTAGTGTTTTTTAAAGCTCTGTTTAGTATTGTATTTTTCTTTTTATTATCAAAAGCTGTTTTGCTTTTAGGTTAAGCAATCAAACATTATTGATAAAAAATAAATTATTTTGCTCATTTGAAAAGAAATAGCCTCTTGATAGTAACTTTTATAAGTAGCAAATAGGTTGCATTTAGAAAGTGCTTTCATAAAAAACTGAGTTGAACATTAAATGAATATTTTCAATTCTTGTAGCACCCTCATTAGTTTTTGAAAAATGACATTATTTATCCTTCTACAAATTGTTTTATCCTTTGTAGAACAAAGTGACCACCACCACCTATAACTAAAAACACTAACATTACATCTATTAGTAAGAAACTCAACAAAATTTTACAAACTTTTAATTATATACTTTTGTAGAATACTATGGAATTAGATCTCTACAATTAATTAAGCCAGGCCCCTTATTTAAAGTAATGGACAGAAACACTTCTAAAACAAGAAAGATCTACAACTGGCCTAAAATAAATCATTACTAGTTCAATGCACTAGTAGAGAAAAAAAAATACTTTCGCGACAAAACTTTAGGTGACGAAGAAATTTTTTTACACTCAAGTAATTTTTGCGACTGAAAAAAATTATGTTTTGTCGTGCAAAATGTCTACGTCCAAAAAGAACCAAAACCTTTGCGTCACGGGAAAATTCATCGTGTGAGATTTGAAAAATAAAAGTCACATTAAAATGAGGCAAAGAACTTTATTGCGCGGCGAATAATTTCATCGCATCGGAAAAAGTGGGCGATGAAGGTCTTTCAAACTTCGTCACTCGAAACCCCGAAAAACTAGATGGAACAATAATTGCAGAAATTTTGCAAGCGAAGAAGATGGGCTTGGGGAGACGAAGCATTTCAACACGCAAAGGTGCACAGATTCCAGAATAAATTCCAAAACTTTCCTAAATTCCAGTAAGTAGCTTCATCCAACTCCAAGTTTTGGATAGGCTTTGTTCCTTCTTTAATCTGTGTCCTCTGCAATCGATCCCACCAAAAAGCGAGATTTCCCTTTAATTAAACGGTAAGTGGCTATCTTCTTGATCATTTTCTCTTCCGGTATTATTATTTCATCAAAGAATTGTTCCACAACTACGACCCAATCGAGAAAATCTTCTATGCATTCACTTCCCTAAAAACGAAGAATCTTTCCAACATTAATTTGACGAGATAGGCCTTGAGAAATTCCACAATGCTTCCCTTATTAGTAAAAATTGGTTTGCTCATATGGTCAATTAAATCATCTTTTTTAGACTTTTTATAAAAATCTATTGACGTTCCAAACAACCAACATCGTTTATATAATATTATCTCCCATATTAATTTGACGAGATAGGCCTTGAGAAATTCCACAATGCTTCCTTTATTAGTAAAAATTGGTTTGCTTATATGATCAATTAAATCATCATCTTCCGTAGACTTTTCATAAAAATTTATTGACGTTCCAAACAACCAACATCGTTTATATAATATTTGTATCTTCCATTGTCGTTTGCCATGAAGCGAGGCAAATCCTTGCTCTCAATGACAACCATGCTATGGTACCACTTGACGTAGCGGAAACAGAGATAAAAGGATTGACAAGCGTTATAAATTGACATTCATCAATATTTTCGACTCCACCACAAAATGGAGTAACTCCTGACTTTGATTGATAATAATATAACATCTACTTGTACAACTCTAAACTGAACCTTTATGTAGGCATCAAACCTTAATCCTACTTCGTCTTGGAAATTGAATTTATAAGGGAAACGTAAAAGAAAATCCTAATTAACAAGGCAAGGTAACCAAATTCTGATGGGACACAGAAAGATGAAATTTCCCAAAACCTATTAATGAGTCGATTTCATATTATATATTTTACTCTATTTTTAGTATGCTTTGGTAATTATTTTGGTGAAATTTTGATACATTGAATTATATTTTCAATGTAGGACATGCGACATCCTCTTGAGTAAAAAGTGATCAAACAGACAAATTTTGGAATGATTCCAATTGGAGGATGTTCGTGAGTCTCTCAACTTGTTCGTGTCAAAGTTTCAGATTTTCTACCAAGCGGTTATTTATGGCGGTGAAATAAAGAAGCAGCGCACAATGCTGTAAAAATGACGTCTTGGGCTTATTTGGCATCCAAGAAGGTGTCTGGGCCTTTTGGAGATATGTTCAAAACACCTTAAGGTTTTAAAAAGAGTTATCTTGGGTCTGTTTTGGAGCTGTTTTGAGTCCTGAAACGTGGGAGTCTTTGTGGCTGGGCAGATTTCTCAAAGTTGAAATATGAATGTATTTCCTAGTTATCTTATTCTATTATGTTTCCTAGTTTCTTTTAAGTTATTTTGTTTCCTAGTTTTATTCTAAGACTTTTTCTAGGAAGGATTTTAACTGGTAGTGTAAATAAGGCTATTTAGCCATTAGGTTCTAAACGCACAATTTGGCAAATTTAGCTTAGAGAGCTTTTGACAATTCAAGTTAACTTACAAGGTGTTTTCAATCATTTTCTTCTTAATAATATTTTTCTTTTTAATATACGGTTGTGCGTAAATAATTCCTTTTGCTAGGGCGATGCCATGAGTCTTAGCATGAATATGTAGTTTTTATTTAATTGCTTATGATATTATGCATGCGTCTAATCACTGTGTTTAAATTGTCCTTATATCTTAATACTTTGCAACCATTAGGATGTTTAGATAAGTAATCAGATGCAATTTCTGTTAGAATGTTACCCTGAAATTGAGGAATGCTTCTTGTGGTTAATAATTGTAAGTTCACTTAGGGCGAATGCTTCTTTTAAGGGTTGAATGGTTTTTGAAAGGGTTTTCACAAAGCGTAATAAGTCATGCATGTTTACATTTGATCTAAATACCACATACAGATTGCATGTTTGATATACATTCAGAAAACATAACCTTCAAATTGGAATATACGTTCAATCGTAATGAGTCATGCATGTATAATTCATAAGTAATTAGTAAAATTACGTAGGATTGTTAAGGTGATGGCGGAATCCTACTGCCTTTTTATTATTGTTTTCTAAAACCGGCTTATTTCAAATTGGATTTCTTTAAAATTGTTTTCTTTTTTATTTTCTTTAATAGTTTTTATTAAATTCGTTTTTATTATTTTAAGTCACAAAATCAACCTTTTTCAAACTTTGTTTTCAAATAATTAATTAAGATTTGATTTTTACATAAATTATTCATTCAATATATGTAGAGAACAACTGACACACCCAGAAAGAAATCAAGGCGTGCTGGCCGTCACGTGAGGGTGACGTAGCCATGTGCACAGTGTGGAAACAATAATAATATAAGAAATGCAAATAAATAAAAACCAAACTAACTAGAGCACTAAATAAGATAAGGTGCAAGACGAAAATAAGTGTGAATTCACAACCAGAGCA